TAACGGCCCTCCAAGGGAAACGGTAACTAAAATGACAAAAATGAGTTTGACACCCCTGTGCTCAAGTGAAGACGCACCATTACAAACTTGTAATAATTTAAAATTTGCAAATTTCCCCAGTGTCTGACAAATAAAGGTTTTCTTATCTTCTTATCTTAATATCAAATTTAAGCATTGGCATTATAACATTTTATGAGACTTGTAAAGTAAATCGGCAAATTTGCTTTTTAGGCAATTTAACCAGTCAACCATTATGCATCGCCACTATTCCCAGCCTTTCATAAAAGAGCCTCTATTGTATGCTTATGCATTATTTCCAGAAAAACTTTGAGGAGCCCATGACTATGCATTGCATGGATGCCAGCAACGGGGTGCTCTTGCCCTTCTATGACCCAGACACCAACATGGTTTACGTTTGTGGAAAGGTATGTTCGGATTTATCAAACCTATCATCTTAGAAATTTAGAACTCCCATTTTTTTGGTCTGTTTCTTTTTTGACAGGGTGACAGCAGCATCCGCTACTTTGAAGTGACAGATGAAGATCCATATGTTCACTTCCTTAGCAACTTTGTCTCCAAGGAGTCTCAGAGGGGCATGGGCTACATGCCAAAGAGGGGCCTCGATGTCAACAAGTGTGAAATTGCAAGGTAAGGCCTTATAAACAGTGCAATTCATACCCTCACCACTAGAGAGCAGAAGATGGTCATTAATTAGTCAAACATTTTTTTTCCTTTCATTTATATTTAACTTTAGGTAATAGTTAACTTTGTTTATTACCACCAGGTTCTATAAACTGCATGAAAGGAAATGTGAGCCTATCGTGATGACTGTACCAAGAAAGGTGAGTGCGTGGTCACCCTTCCTAAGCACTTGTTGGCGCTCAGCCAAACTAACCACCGCACTGACTTTATCTCTGCCCTCGCTGTCAGTCTGACCTGTTTCAGGATGACTTGTACCCTGACACGGCTGGGCCTGACTCGGCCCTGGAGGCCGAGGATTGGTTTGAGGGGAGGAATGGTGACCCCATCCTAATCTCTCTCAAAAATGGCTACGTTCCAACCAAGTCCCGTGATTTCACGGTTGTCAAAAGGAACATTTTAGATGCCAAGGTGCCCAAGAGCACAGAGAACTCTTCCTCGGCCCAGAATGCATCGTTTGTGAGTATTGCTGCATTACAGTTGCATGCACTATGATTTGCACAAGGCGTACGGTACCTCGTTTCCAGTCATTTATTTAATTTGGCAGGGCATCACACTGGAAGCGTACTCAAGTTAGTAGTTGTGCTCTGCATTGCAATCGTGGCTCTGGCCTTGTGGTGTTGAGTTTTGTGTACTCTACGCCACGGTCCAAAAACACTGGCATCTACGTGACTTGAGTGGTTAAGGGCGTCATGATCAGCCTTTTGTTGATCTGTCAACGGTGTACCCTCCC